CAGGTGTCCCATATTCAGCATAGAGAAATATGGTCACCCTATCCGTGTAGCAATTCTAAATGTTTCACAGTGAAGGTTTTTTGAGTATTATTTTTTGAATGATTTTTTGAATGATTTTGAGCATTATTTTTTGAATGATTTCAGTACTTAATTGGGGGCTTTGCAAAAGAACTGATGGTGGTAGAAACATCAAGAATCCATCAGCAGCTGAACAAGTATCTAGCAGTTGTAAGATAAAATATGATAGAAAAATGTAGCCTTTAATGCAAAAAGTTTGTGTGTCTATTTTGTATGTTTATTTTCCATTCATTAAGCCTCCAGTCACTCTTCTTCCATACATCAGCAATGTGCATAGGGAATAAACATTCAGTTATAACATAAATGATGGCTAACCTGGCATTTTTTTAAATGAGCCATTTTACTCAGGATCCACCTCATTACTAAGCTTTGTGGAGGTAAATGATTTTTTAAAAAAGAAATATTCATTAGAAATGAAAAGTAGGTTTTTCAGCCAGAGCCTTCAAAATTTTCCTATTAAAAATGCATAAGAAAACAAGAAAAAACTATACAGAAAATTCAAAGGGAATCACATCTAACCTTGTGAAAAATTTCTTGCCAAGTGGCATTTATTGTTAGACTATGTCTACACTACAAGATTTTTGCCCCCAAACTGGCAGAACTTCCACACTTCAAGTGAGTTTTTGCACAAAAAACCCCAAACCAAACCAAAACAGTAAATCGACAGGAAAAAGAGCTTTTTCTGGTAGAATTATTCCTCTCACCATGAGGAATAACTCCTTTTTGCGTTACAGCTCTTGTGCAAAAAGGTGTGTGTGAATGCTCTGCAGGGGTTTCTTGCGCAAAAAGAGCCTGTCAGAAAAAGCACAGGTGCTCTGATGGCAATTCTGTGAATGGCAATCAGAGCTTCCTTCCGCAAGAGCATCCATGGAGTGTGGACGCTCTCTTACTCAAAAGCACATCACTTTTGCAATGCGCTTTTGAGGTGTAGATGTGCTTTTGCACAAGAAGTTTTTGTGGAAGATCTCTTCCGCAAAAAGCTTTTTGCGCAAAACCCCTACAGTATAGACCAGGGCTTCTTAAATTTTTCAAGACTGAGGAACACCAAACAATAATTTTTTTTAATGAGGAACACCAAGGAATTTTTTTAAGCAACAACAACAACAACAACAACAACAAAGAGGAGGCTTGCCCCTTTAAGGGCAACCATTCCCAAGGAAAAAGTTGTTGACCTCCCCCCCCCAAAAACAGAAAAGTTGTTGAGCAAAACAAACAAACAAAAAAGGATGGGGAAAGGAAGTTGTATTGCTAATTTTACACCCATTTTTAGAACAAAGTCTTAACTATGAAGCTACTACCTGGCTTCCTTCAGGTAATATATGGATCCAAAAGAAAACAAGCTTGACTTTCAGATCCTAGACAGTTTTCAGGGCAGGCAGGTAGAACAAACAAACTTATTTTTACATGTAAGTCAAGAACATTTAATCTGGAGCTCGTTGAGACACAATAAACCTGGAATCCCACCATGCCATATTTACAGCATCATTTCTCAGAATGGAACTGCATTTTAAAATTATACTTAAATAGAATGAAACATTTGGGCAAAGGCAAAAGAACAGGAGACAAAAATTATGGCAACATTTTGGAAGGTTGGAACATTGAATCAATACTGTAATACTAGGAAACTGAATCTTTGCTGATGTGAGTTGCAAGCAATGATCTCTGCAACTTCAGATAAAACCCATCCTTTTATTTGTAAGCCAATCAAACAATATGGAATGATTGAGAGATAATAGCCACAGAACTCCACTATGCTATTTTAACAGAACTTCTCACCTACCATAAGGATTCAAATCCTGACATAGAGGCCATAGGAGCCCTGCTCACCATGTTCCACTGGAAGTTCTCCAGAAAAAAGACCATGGCAGGCCAGCTTCATGATCCTAACAGAGCTTCTTAAAGACAGGTTGCTGGAGGCCTGGGGGTTGGGTTTGTGTACTTTGGAAAAAAGGAAATTAAGGGGGGACATGATAATGGTCTTCAAATATTTGAAAGGTTGCCAGAAAACCATAGTTAAAAGTTGTTCTCTCTGGCCACAGAAGGCAGGACGAGAGCTAATGGGATCAAACTACAGATTTAGATTAAATCTCAGGAAAAATATCCTAACTGTGAGAACAGTAGGACAGTGGAACAGACTGCTGAGGGAAGTCATGGAAGCTCCTTCTCTGGAGGTTTTTGAAAGGAGGGTGGATAGCCATCTGTCTTGGATGGCCCAGACACAACAAAACCTTCACCTTGACAAGGGGTTAGACTAGAATACCCTTGTGGTCCTCTCTAACCCTATGGCTTTGTGATTCCCCACCCTCCTGCCTATAGATAGTTTATAGCTGGGTGTAGGAGGTGTGGGGGAGGGATGACCACATTTACCACACTGGCAATTTCTGTTGTAAATCTTTCTAGTTTTATTACTAAAAGTAACCAAGCCCTTTCTCCTTTGTGGTACTCGTTCCAAATAGGGGTGTGCACAAGGGGAGGGGCAAGCAGAGGCTTGAACCCCCACAATAATCAGGAGCAGTCCTGGGTTCCTGTCAGGAAAAGCCAGTTCCCCAGTGTTGAAAAAGAGCTACTCTAGCTATGAGGCCATGGTGGAGAGGATGAACACCTCCGGCCCAGGGCTGCACTGGAGGTACAGAATGTGTCCTTCCCAAAAGAGCAGAGTTTAAATTCTTGTACATGCCCCTGCTTCCAGGCCATCTTCCTGCACTAAACAAGAATGCTCATTCTGACCAGGAAGATACTGGACAAAATGATTAAAGATCCTCAGCTTGGCCTCTCATGTTTGTATTTACAATCGGGTGAGAGCAAAATTGCCTACACTGTTAATCGTAGAGGTAGATGATACTGGGTAAAATTTTCAGAAATACCTGCAGTATCGTGGAAAAGGCCGCAGAACCATACAGGCTGCTAGCCATTCCATTCCAGGCTGCCCAACAACTTTCTGTGTGACCTTGAGCAAACCCCTTAGCCTTTCTTGGTGTGTTGACAATCTAGTAGAGAGTGAGCCTCCCTAGACCAAGCAAACCAATTTGTGACGGGGGAGGACTTGTGCTCTCATGGCAAAAATAGCAGGGTGGATACTGTAGCAATGACGGAGGCGTAGGCTAACCACCTGCATGCGGAGGAAAGGGACAGGATAACAGGAGCCTCCAGTGGTGCTGCAATGCCTGTACCCCTATTTTTAGAGCACTAGCATGAGCTCAGAAAGCACAGGTCTGTATAGCCAGGCTGGAAGGCTGGTTTCTAGTGCAGCATAGACCAGAGGTCGGCAAAGTGTGGGGCACACTCTTCTAGAGAGACATGGAGGAGCATTCAAGGTAGGCAGGGAGGCTCAGTGAAGCCACCACCGGGGGCAGGGGGAGAGTGAAGCCACCACCAGGGGCAGGGAGAGAGTGCTAGCAGTCTCCGCTCCTAGCTTTGGCCCCGTGGCCCACTCACAACCCCAGCAACCACCTTAGTGCCCTTGGTCTCCATCAATGTGTCGCTCCTGCCCCCATCTTTGGCTCCAACCTCTGCTTCTGGCACTGGCTGGGTGTGGGGAGGAGAGGGCATGGACAGGGATGAGGGTGGCATGAGGTAAAAAGTTTAGAGACCACTCGTGTAGACAAACCCTCTGAGCTTCTATTTCCTGGCTGTATGATGAGGATAATAGCACTATCTTGTCTCACTGGGATTTGTGAGGTTAATATATTAAAGACTGTGAGGTGCTCAGATTCTGCTGTCATGGTCTATGTATAAGTACAGAAGTGTCTTCAGAACCCCATTGGAAGCTGATGAGATGTATGCACCTTATTCACATGGAGGGCTTTTGAAAATCCTTTCTAGAATCTATGTCAGTATTTTTTCCATTTATAAACTCCTGAAGGTGCTCATTCGAAAAGGCAGGCACAGTCAGGTAACCAATGTCTCATGTTACAACTGCCCTACAATATCTGAACATTTCCAGCGATCATTGAATAGTGATGGGCTGGTGACAGCACATTATTATAACAAGTACCCTAAATCTGACTATTTTTGAAATGTGGCAAATCTATTACATAGAAATAGTATATTGTGAAAGACAACAGATACAACAGCAAGTTCACTGTGCTACAAGATTTCTTTCTAGTGCCGGTCTGTCAGAGTTCTGCTTTTATGCTATGAGGCAATCATCAAAACTCTGTGAAGAATAACAGGAAACTCTTGCCATTTGTGCTGGATGCGTTCCTGGCACCACCGTGAATGGCAAAATTTGTGAATACTGGAAGCTGCAGCTCCCGGCTCTCGCAGTGAGCTCCAGGTGGCTCCTGAACTCACCACAGTTCCTGGCAGCAGCATAGACCAGAAGCTGGGAGCCATGGGGAACTCCTGTATACGCGCATGCTGTAAACTTCCCTTCACATGTTTTGCTAGTGCAGTCTCAGAATGACTATAAATCGTAACTCTACAAAGGTTACAGATATATATCCAGTCGAGATTTTCAAAGAAATTGGGTACAAAGTTTATTCATTTGTGTTTCTACCAAAGACTAGAAACTGATGCTCTGCTTTTTACAACATCACTTGAAATTCATTACACCATTTACTATTCTTACTAGAAATAATTATACCTGATATTCCTTTCTTCTAATAGATTATTTAAACATCTTAAACTAAGGTAAACCGTGTCTTCTTATGGTACTTGGTGTAATAATTCTGACTGATTGCAAAGTTACCTTTTTATTATATGGTGTCACTTTAACCTATAAATTGCCCAGTCATCAGCGGCACACATGCATACGCACATATATTTATGGCTCATTGCTTTGAAGTGATTATTTCATGCTCTTTCCATGAGTAATTAATGGAGGGCAGCGGAGGGGGAGAAATGAGCCAGTTTTTATTTCATCTCCTGAAAAACTACTCCAATAAAAGAGCATGAAAAAAGAAGTGAAAAAATGTCCTTACCTGCTCCAGTGTTTTTGGTGTAGCGTGAAAAGCCCATAAGTAACAGACTGGCTGTTAGAAAACGTCTTGTGTTTGTTACTCCTCGGTGCATAGAGCTCAGGAAATGACCATGTAACCGTTAGCTGTTTCCTCACTCTGCAAGTTCACAGTTATGGTACAATCCTCAGATTTGTAGTAAGTTCAGAAAATCTTTTTTTTTTGTCTCCCAGTAAATCTGTATGATGCCTGATTGCTGTGCTCTGCATCTGACATATTTTATAATGAGAATGCGAAGCGTGCAAAAGAAAGAGCAGCCTGACTGACAATATTTCCAACCAAAAGGAAACAGAGCTTATGTTTCAACAAGTGCACAGACTGTAGATTGAAAACAGTAAGATTTGCAGAGGTGCCTAAGTGACTTAGGTTTCTAATTCTCAATTTCAAAAGAGATAGAGAACTTAGCAGCCAAAATCCCATCCTAAGTGCCTAAATTCCTTTTGAAAATGAGGTTGAGGTGGCTATAGCAGTTATGTTGCAGTTCTGACGCAGGAATGGCCAAATACCTTTAAAAATCTGGGTCTTGGTCTAGAAGCAAACTTCTACCTCAGAGATATTTTCAAGTGGTCACTATACATTTCCAGTGCTGTTTTGTTTAATTTCTGGTTAGTTCACCTCCTCTATAGAATCAATATCTGCTTAGTCATTTGGTGCTTATTGTAGACAGATTTCATTATAATAATTGTGTGAAATTCCATTAATTGCATATTTAAGTCTTATTGCAGCAAGGGAATGTTTAGAATCCTTTACATTCCTAGTTTTTTTTTTTATAGTAAATTGCTATTTTCTCAAAGCTTCAGATGACTATTTTAATAACCTTAGAAGTTGGCTAATGCCAGTAGTTGGGGACTTAGGCAATGAATGAATAACTGATTTTCAATTCATAGGTTGTTCTGAAAAAAACAAAAATAACATTAGTTTCAGATCAACCCTGAACCAATTTTTTTTAAAAAAACAGTGGATCAAAAAATCAGAAAAAGTATAATTTTGGGTCGAATAAAATGTTTGGCTTTTATATTGAGCATTTCACACTGTTTTTTTGGAAACTAAACCTAAATTTATAACTTTGAGGGAAAGGTACTTTTCCACTTAGGCCCAATATCTCAATGGTTTGTGCTCTCACCTATGTTGTTAGGCTATTTCTACATGGCATGCTTATTTTGAAATAACAGAGTGCGCATTTACATAGGAAGCCTGTTTTTCTGAATAATTTTGAAATAATGGGCTTCTTACTCTGACTCCTGTAATCCCCATTTTGTGAAGAGTAAGGGAAGTTGAAGGAAGAGTTTTCTTCATTTGACTTTCTGTTATGTAGACAGCGCCAAATGCTGAGTTAAGTTACTTCTACTTCATCTACACAATTAATGTAGCTGAAGTTGCATATCTTAATTTAACGTTAGCCCACAATATAGACATAACCTAAGAGTCCCGGGTTCAAATCCTTAATGTAGAGCAACAAGTTGAAGCCAGATGTCCTTTAGCCCAGGTGAAAGTCCTAACCCTTCTCCTCTATAAGCTATTGGCTATGCTGTGCTGGTCGGTCTGCTTAATCTCGCCTACTGAAGCTGCTCCACTTAGTCTGAAACCCTTCAATGTTCATTGGGCCAGAGAAAGTGACTCCGTAGGCCATGGGGGGTTAGAGCAGATTTTGGGAGATTCCGGTCCCTGTGCCAATGAATATTTATTAATACCAAGTAGAACAGCTCCAACAGCAGAGGACAAGAACTTTTCCTATGCAATAGCCTCCTGATTAGAGCACTTACCTGGCTTCTCTGTGTGTAAATTTCCACTCCAGGAGTGGAGTGGAGGGTTGGAGTTCAAATCTGGGACCTTCATATCCATTTTGTGAATCTAACCTGGCATTTCCAAATTACACACACACTTCACAAAAATTGACACAGATCTGTGAAATGTTTTGGTCTATCCAAATGCGCATTTTTAGTGAAAAAAAAGGTTTGGATAAAAAGTTTCAGACAGCTCTAGACTCAACTCCTTCATTTAGGGTTTTACCCAAAGCATAATAAAATCAAGAGAATGATTCCCCTGATTTTATGGTGCTTTAGAGCAAGCCCTGCTAGTTGCAAGCTTTAAACCTGGTCCTGGGAGATGCCTATTTCCAGCGTGGTGGTAAGTGCCCTTAGTGCCCATTGTGCTCACAGGCATCTCTCAGTATCAGACCTTGAGTGTAGATATAAACAAGATAACAACTGGGCAGAGAATATTCAGTTTCTATAAGAAGATATAAAACTTACACTTGTGATTTGGGCTACAAAAACTGTTGTGCAAAAACTTATGGAGCGTCCATACTACAAGCGTGTTCTTACACAAGAAAAAGTACAGTTAATCATAAGAACACAGGGCTTTTTGCACAACAGTTTTTCCTCTTTCTACGAGGAATAAGCATTTTTGCACAAGATCTCTTTCGCAAAAAGGCATGTGTATGGCTAAAATGTGTATGGCAACATGTGTATGGCTAAAATGGCCATCAGAGCTTTCTTGCATAAAAGAGTGTCCACACTGCCATGGATGCTCTTGCACAAAAAGTTCTTGCACAAGAAACCTGCAGTGTAGACATAGCCTTAGTGAGCAAGGTCCCTTTGCTATGTGTTTGGTTAGCTATATATGTATAAAACCATAATTAAAGGCCATAAGTAGAATTAAGATCCTACCGAAGTAAATAGGTCCTTTGCCATTGACTTCATTGAGGCCAAGGTTTCACCTCAGGGATACATTTTCAAGAATTAAAAATAAAATTAAACATAAAATAAAGCACCAAGAGTGAAATCCAGCAAAGCACGGAGCAATCTGGTCTCCATCCAAAAAACTACTTAGGCGTGTGCTTAACTTCAACTCATTCCTAACCCTAGTGCCTTTAGAGAAATCTCTAGGACTACCTGTATACTTACAGTTGAGCATATGCTTAGCTAGATGGAGGTCAGAGTGCTCAGCACCATGCAAAATCCAATCTGAAGTCAGGTTTTTCTTTCGACCTTTGTTTTTGAAAGTCCACATGCTACATTGTTTCACATACAGAAATCTCAAGGGAAGGTTGTATAAAATAGGATGGCCTCAAGTGTTTCTCTCTCTGTGGCTGCTCTCACTTTTGTTTTCAAAAACAGAATCAACTGTCAGTTGTCACATTGGCTTTTCATCCTGAGCCTAAAACTACAGGCAGTCCTCGATTTACGAACGGGTATGTTCTGAACAGCTGGTTGTAACTCGATTTGGTCATAAGTTGGAAATACCCTTAAACGCGTTCCCCGTGCTGTTCAAAAAAATTGACATACATGGTTCTCAACTCAAAATTATTATAATGGGGTTAATGGGAGGTTGGTCGTAAGTATGGATGGTTGTAAGTCGGTGTGTTCGTAAGTCGGGGAGTGGCTGGGAAGAGATGGGACTGTCAATATTGCCAACTCCAAGCATTCAAAAATCACAAGATTGCCTTAATATCATGATTAAAAAAAAAACCAGTACCTTTGGGGTCTTTTTCTTTGCCGTCTGGTTTCTGAGGTCTTTGGGTGAACTCATTGCATGTTTTCAAATGTTTCTCTGCAGCCTTGAGGGCTATATAGTCATGTATCTATCTGAAGCTGGAGTTTTAAGACTACGCCAAATATTAGAATCATAGAATCATAGAATAATAGGACTGGAAGGGACCTCGAGAGGTCATCGAGTCCAGCCCCCCGCCCTCAAGGCAGGATCAAGCTCCGTCTACACCATCCCGGACAGATGTCTATCTAACCTGTTCTTAAATATCTCCAGAGAGGGAGATTCCACCACCTCCCTTGGCAATTTATTCCAATATTTGACCACCCTGACAGTTAGGAATTTTTTCCTAATGTCCAATCTAAACCTCCCCTGCTGCACTTTAAGCCCATTACTCCTTGTCCTGTCCTCAGAAACCAAGAGGAACAAATTTTCGCCTTCCTCCTTGTGACACCCTTTTAGATATTTGAAAACCGCTATCATGTCCCCCCTTAATCTTCTTTTTTCCAAACTAAACAAGCCCAGTTCATGAAGCCTGGCTTCATAGGTCATGTTCTCTAAACCTTTAATCATTCTTGTCGCTCTTCTCTGTACCCTTTCCAATTTCTCCACATCTTTCTTGACATGTGGCGCCCAGAACTGGACACAGTACTCCAGCTGAGGCCTAACTAGTGCAGAATAGAGCGGCAGAATGACTTCACGGGTTTTGCTTACAACACACCTGTTGATACAACCTAGAATTATATTTGCTTTTTTTGCAACAGCATCACACTGTTGACTCATATTCAACTTGTGGTCCACTATGACCCCTAGATCCCTTTCCGCCATGCTCCTTCCTAGACAGTCTCTTCCCATCTTGTATGTATGGAACTGATTGTTCCTTCCTAAGTGGAGCACTCTGCATTTCTCCTTATTAAACCTCATCCTGTTTACCTCTGACCATTTCTCTAACTTGCTAAGGTCATTTTGAATTATGTCCCTATCCTCCAAAGAAGTTGCAACCCCACCCAGTTTGGTATCATCTGCAAACTTAATAAGCGTACTCTCTATCCCAATATCTACATCATTGATGAAGATATTGAATAGTACGGGTCCCAAAACAGACCCTTGAGGAACTCCACTTGTTATCCCTTTCCAGCAGGATTTAGAACCGTTAACAACAACTCTCTGACTACGGTTATCCAGCCAATTATGCACCCACCTTATCGTGGCCCTATCTAAGTTATATTTGCCTAGTTTATCAAATTCTGAAGAGATTCATGTAAAATTGCAAGAGTTCACAACAATCTAGGGTGGCATTCATTCTACAGAATACAAACCTTTGGGTGACTACATCAGTGCTGCTCTTGGTTAGAAGGATTATTTAGGAGACCTATTGATTTTCATGCTAATGCTTTGATTTTATCTAAATCCCATCAGCATGGGAGAAATCCTGACTCCATTGTAGTCAGTAGCTAAACTCCCACTGACTTTATGAATCTTGGTGTGGAGTCAGATTGAAACAAGCAGCCAGTTTGTA